GAATGAGCAAACCGATTTGATGGGAAATTATTCCTGTTTTGAAGAGCACTATTTAGCTCGAAATGAAGAAATCAGTAAGCAAATGAACAATATGCTGTTTGTAGTGAAGACTTAAATGAAATTGGACATCATTTAGACGAATGTGATGATGATGCTTTTGATACCATTGCACCTGTGACACAAGATGTTGAACGACATGATCAGGATGAAGGATGCGTGGATACACATCCTGATTTAAACTAAACATTTGATCATCTTGCTGAAAATTTGGGCATACCGTCTTCTTTACCAAATAATGAGCCGTTGATTTTAAATGAAATGCAAGATAACGAATATCGAGCCTTAGTTCAGCTGCTGAATAAGAAGCAAAGAGAATTCTTCTATCATGCTCTGCATTTGATAAAAACATCAGAAAAGCCATTTTACGCATTTCTCAGTGGAAGTGGAGGTGTCGGAAAGTCTCACCTTATTAAATCGATATACCAGGCAGCATTGAAGTATTACAATTCACGAGCAGGGGACGATTTTCATCGTGTTCATATATTATTGCTTGCTCCAACAGGAAAAGCTGCATATCTTATAAAAGATAACACGATTCACAGTGCCTTGCGCATTCCAGCAAGTCAGTCATTGAAAAATTATAAACCATTAGATTCTGGAAGACTGAACACGATGAGATGCGAACTAAGTTCATTAAAGTTAATATTGCTTGATGAGATATCAATGGTTGGCAACAGCATGTTCACCATTCAATTGAACAACCGTTTAAAAGATTTAAAAGGTAGCAAAGAGGATTTCGGTGGTGTCAGCATAATCACAATTGGTGACTTATTTCAACTAAAACCTGTAATGGATGGTTACATATTCACAGATATTCAGTCTTTAAGTTCTTATGATGTGCTTGCCCCGAACTTATGGAGAAAATATTTTAGAATGTTTGAGCTTGATGAAATCATGCGACAGAGAGAAAGCAAGATTTTTGCAGAGATACTTAATCGACTTCGTGAAGGTAATCATACTCCGAGTGATCTACAAAAACTAAAGGAAAGATGTATTGAAGAGAGTGTTTGTCCCAGAGAAGCCCCACGTTTATTCATTCAAAATGCTTTAGTTGATGAATACAATGATATAGTTTATCAATCATTCGATTGTGGTGATAAATACATAATCAAGGCACAAGATAGCGTCATTGGAGCCTGTTCAGCTGAATTGAGGGAAAAGATAATGAGACAAATACCACATGTTCCTTTGAAAAATTCAAAACAGTTGGCTTATAAACTGCATATTGCTGTCGGGCAAAGAACAGAAATTGCCGTGAATATTCGCACTGATGATGGTCTGACAAACGGTGCAGGTAATGTCATTAAACATGTTCAATTGACTGATAATACTAAACCTTCTGGCGTCGTTTGGGTTCAGTTTGACGACGAAGATGTTGGAAAGAAAACTAGACAAGAAAATAGAATTCTCTATGCTCGAAGTACATCTATACTAAGTACTTGGACACCAATAAAACCTGTTACAACGCAATTTGCTGTAGGTAAAACGAAGTCTGCTCAAGTGGTAAGAAGGCAATTCCCTTTAAGGCCAGCTGCCGCAAAAACGGTTCATCGATCACAAGGTGACACTCAGTCACAAATCGTCGTTAATTTGAATACAAGAAGAGCAATACCTCATATTCATTACGTCGCTCTAAGCCGAGTAAGAACAATCGAAGGGCTATATATAACTGATCTGTGCGAAAGTAAGATTTCCGTCGATCCTAAAGTCGTAGAAGAAATGCACTTACTGAGAAATGAGTATAAATTAGATCTTTGCTTTACTCCGTTGTACATGCTGAATCCCACTGATTTAAAAATTTGTTATCTTAATGCAAGATCTTTGCACAAACACATTGAAGATGTACGAAAAGATATTAATTATAGGTCAGCTGATATCCTAATTTTTTCCGAAACGAGATTTAGTGCAGAAGATCCTGGTGAATTGTACGCAATTGAAGGCTATGGGTTATTCAGAAATGACGACATTTCAAATCTCAGCCGTCCATATCATGGAACAGCTGTTTATTCTAAACTTCCTATGATGATTGGATATCCTTGTGCGAGAAACTGTCATGGGATAGAGGTAACTATTATGAAAACGGTCGAATGTCCAGACCTGATTGTAATTGGAATATACAGATCTCCAAAACTTGTACTATCATCTCTTTTGGCTGCCATTTCTACGACATTGGAGGAACATCCTTCTCCACAGGTTATAATCATTGGAGACTTTAATGTCAACTGGCTTGATGAGATAGAACGAAGATCACTGTATAATCTTATGATCAATGCCAATGGTCTCGAGCAACTTATATCTAGTTCTACAACAGATAATGGAACATTGATTGATCATCTGTATACGAATTTGATTGAAGAGGATAACCTGGCAGGTACTCTTGAAACTTACTTTAGTGATCACAAAGCAATTTGGGCTTCTCTTAAGATAAGGAAGTAATCGCATTCAAACATAGCGTTAGCATGTTACAAGAACAACCATAGTATTGACATGGTTAGATGAACCCAGGCCAATGTTTATTGGCCTGTCTCCAATTTAACAAAAGGTAAGCATTTATTTTTTTCCGGTTTTTTTTCGGTTTCCTTCCAATTTTACCATTTCCTTTTCTCTTTAGGTTCTGATGGCATATTTTCAAATTATTCAAATGATGTCGAAGCTAAAACACTAATAATCTAAAGGTATATAATAGATTAGTATTGGATGCGAGCTATACATGTCTTCTTTATTTTGATAACGCGAGTCTTTGCTTTTTACAGAACTGAATCAGCTATAATCATGAAAAAGGCTTTAAAAATGTTGACGTTGCTTGTTGCCAACCGCGTGGATCAACGCCCAATTAACTCGAAGATGAGAAGACCACAACACAAATATCGGAAATCCTCGTTCCTCTTTGCGTACATCTTCGTCCACGTCCACTCACCGTAACTGTAGTCTGTTCATTGCACCAACGAATGCCAAACAAGAGCAAAGTTCGTTTTTTTAAAGCAACATTGATCTACTTCACACAAGGCAAAGGAAGAAATTACCTTCCTGGTACAGTAGCTATATATTACTCAGCAATACACGTTTATATCAGTGATGAATGTCATTCAATGTTAACTGATTGTCGGACTGATATGATCAATGGAACGTGCAAACAAACCACGTATAGTCTTATTGGACCTACGAAGTGGTGCTATCTCCAGCTAATTAATACTGATAAGTTATCGGTAATCAACATTGCAAACCACCTGTACCTTCCTGCTGGATAATGGTGATAAACGTATATATACAAAAACTTTGGCAAACAAGCCTTATAATCGTACTGGAACAATAGCCTCCGATATGCTAACTAATAATCAAGGGACATCAAAAGAAATAATTTGAAAACGTCTAAAACCTTTCTTTCCTTTCAAACTAAGCTTTAAGTTATCAGACGATTTGTGCCACCATTCTGGAACCTTACTCTCTTTTTTGTTCTGTCTACCTATTCTGGTTTTAAAAACTATGCATTTCCTCTCTTTTGTAAATATGCTTTTATATATGTTATTATTCTGTCTCTAAGAATGTATTTAAATTAATACAATAAAAAATATAACATAATTTTTATATTGTGCAATATAATCGATTTCGATATAACTGAATTCAACTGGCTATAATTTTTGCCATTGCGTATGGCATTAGAAAGTAAAATTATAAGCATTAGTTTATATTTACTCGCCACTATAGCAGTCTGTAGTTAAAATTTTTTGCCAAGCCATAGCTTTATCGCATCCAATGTTTTGTAAAGTTTTAGAGGCTACCCACATGTACGCATTGCGTACCTATTTTTTTCATATTCTAATGATCAATATACAGCCAAAGTGTAGGTTTAAGTTTATAAGTTTAAAAGTTAGTTGTGGTATGCATATTTTTGCTGCGTTGTCGACCACCAGTGGGATAAATGTATTTTTTGACATTTTTTGGTAACGAAAGTTCAGTAACTGAGACTTCAAGTTTGGCCACTATCGATATGGTACTGCGGACGTGAAACAATTAGGACTGGGGCGAGACACCTGAGTGAACAACAGGTGCAGACTAATTCTTTGTTTGCAGCAAAAATGTTTTTACACAGCAAAAATTTACACCGGCGATCTTAGGGAACAATAACCGTATTATTCTGTAGTAGGAACAGAATGATGATCGTATTAACGAAACTCACTTCAGTACGCAACGTTACATGTACGAAAATCGTTTTGCTAGCAAGGGAGGAGGAGACTGCAAAAGTTTGAAACTTACGAAACACGATGATTCGGGGTGTAAAATTATACGGGATTCATTTGAAAAGATAATAATTTAGTATTTAATTTCGACCAATGGACAAGATACGATTCAGCAGTAGCCTGTGGTCAAATGTCACTCCCTATCTCTATTTCGCGCGACGATTTCCGAACTCGATCAAGGGTCTCCGCAAGAGTCCGTTGTCTGTAGTCGTGCAAAGAGTGTCTCTTTAAAAGACTTTTTAAGAAGTCGTTGTAAAAAGCAGGTCGAGAGGTAAATATAGTACGCGCTTTTTCGAATGCATGTCATGCTTCCACGTATCTCACGAACTAGGACACACGTAAACTGAAATACAACGACATACGACGAAATAATTATGACAAGCTGGGACGGAGCACGACGAAATACGGCGGACATATATGAAAACCGAATCACAACGGAGCACGACGAAATACGGCGGACATATGAAAACCGAATCACAACGGAATACGACGAAGTAGGACATATAAAAACAGACTCGCAACAGAGTACGACATCATCTTGCATAACTAGACATGCAGGAGCTTACAATGCTCACTGCTGACTGTAAACATTGTCTATCAAGTCCAAGATATCGAGAAAGCTTTTCGATGATTATTGTTAATTAAAAAGAACCTCGTCTATTTACACTACACTTGTTTTGAGAAGCGCTTTATAACTCTTACCGTTATCACATTCTTCGTTTTGAGTGTTTCGTCCTTGGAGTTTCTCTTTAAATACTTTCTGTTCTGGTTTTCCCGAAGACTTTAAACGACGGGTTTTTGTTATGGCGCCGTCCTGCTGAGGCATCACATCATTATCATTATCATCTTGCTTGGATTCGTTCATTCTCTTCATATCTAGCGAATCCGCCATCTTAGAGTAAAACGGCTATGATGTAAAACAATTCGGATTTTCTATTAAAATGGCACACCTGCGCAACCTGAAAATCAAAATTTGTTTTTAGGTTTCATTACTACAAATTCAGGACTTCAATTACCATAATATCAGGATTTCGTAATCAAAGATGGCTGCCTTGTTATTATATTTATAGAATTATATAAGACACGATACAAATTTTGAAAATAAAGCAACTTCTAGGTTACATATTGCTGCATGTTGCAGCAGCAGCAGCAGTACGCTTAAGACGGAGACTCAGTACTGTTATGACAATTTTTTCATATGTTTATCTTACCTTTAACAGGTTCCCCAGTGATGTCATCTCAGCAACTTGCTAACCATTATATTTCAAGGAGCTAACGCGTTCCGAGATGACGTTACTGGGAAACTGTTAAAGGTAAAAAATTGTCATGTCAGTGCCCATCTTAAAGTGCCTATATCACTTGTGGGATCTTTACGGATTTGAATAGAGCTTGAAAAATTAGTTTATAAGTTGTACAACCCTTTTTGATATAGTTAAATAGTTTCGGAAATATTTGCATCTAAACATGACGATTTGCCTAAATTTCCGTCGTGCTCGGGGGCCTGGGACTCAGGAACCGAGTTCTTTTCAAACATAATATAATCAATTGTAATTTTACTTCCATCTTCCAATAACGTAGAATATTTTGAGAAAAACTCGCCCAGTTGCTACAGCCATACACAACGCACCGTTCCCGCATTTTTTTCTTGAAAAGCGCAAACTATATTGCCAGTGAAACTCTTCATGTTTACATTATAAAAGACGGCGAGTTTGCAAATCATTCCTGAGTCCCAGTCCCCCCAACCGACGTATTTTCGAAATTATTTAATTATATCAAAAAAGGTTGTAGAACTTATAAACAAATTCGTAAAGATCCCACATGTGATATAGGCACTTTAAACCGTTGCTTAAATTTCAAATTTTGTCTCGTTCTCATATAATTCTACTAGAAACGCATGCATGCAGCAACCCCTTGCCTCCGTTAAACAAAATTAGTTAAGCATACTAGCATTGGGATGGTAACATCACAGTTAGAAAATTTATGTGTGTTGGGGGGTTTGGAGGGTACTTGGTATTGTTGGTATGTGAGAAAAGAAGTATGGAAATATTTTCCTGGACGTGGAAGCACTGTGATCATAGCAACTCCAAAGCTGTGCCACAAGGCCGTATATTTTCAAAGAATCAAAGTTTACCCTCATATTTTCGTGAAAAAAATGGCAAAAATACGACAAGATTCTTGCCTTTTTCTGGAAGTTAAGTTACTCATCTACAGTCAGTGTTATGGTTATTTTAATTATTAATTACCATGAAATATAACATCAGACGTCTCATACAACTTCCGAAGTTTTATGTTTATAGAATTATAGGCCTCGACCGGTTTTTGTACGCGAATATTTTGATTTGATTTTCTTTTTGTCATCATAAAAACGGAGTCTATAAATGAAATAATAATAAACAAGGAAATGTTTTTCGACCCTGATTGGTTAATTTCAGTGCAGTTAATCCCAAAAAAGTAGTGCAAAAATGTGTAACAATTAAGTCAACAGTGAAAATTTCTGTAACAACAGTGCAAAATCATGTTGCAAATATATCTGATTTGTTGAAAAGAAATGAAATTAACCAATCAATTACTGCTCCACATTTAATAATAGCAATGGACAGACGACCTGTTAAAATTTGAATGATTTTCGTCACTTGTATAAATTGTTTGAACTAACTAAATTCGATCAAAAGTTCAAGGACATAATTATAATGGATGAGGTCATTATTTTATTGTCTCGAAGATTCCTTGCATATCATTAATACGTAATAGTATAATTTCTCTGTAATTACGGATAAACATGCACTCGTGAGTTTTTAAAGACTGCAATCATGCTTGTTAATCCGTAATTGCACTCGAAATCATACTATTACCTATACTTATAATGTCGTCTATCATGTAGCACATTCAGATTGATATTGAAACACGTTTGATAATATTAAAGTTGTGTTTACCAATCACTTTTAAAGTTGTGCTGGGTGAAATATTATCAAGTGTAAAATCTTCCGACGTCATTATACACGGTGAATTCGGTCGAAAATTTAGTCTTGTTATTTTTTAAACCATAAAAAGTCCTGACCACATTCGAGTTTCCCTCTAATGTAATTAAAATATATATATTTCATATTTATGAAAATATAAACTTATAAATTTAACAAATTTGCGAAATTACAGTTATTGCTCATTTGTGGTTATGCATTGACCTTTGCAAATACAGCTTTCTAGAGTACTCACTTCAGTCTTGACCATTAGTAGTTCACACTGGCGCATGTGCTGATGTTCATAACTTAAAAGACCGTCCATGGCGTGAGGTCCATTGCATAAAGGCGGACGACTTTAGCATTCGCACATCGTGGGTGTAAATATCCCAGGGGAATTAGTACCCTCGCACGGTTGCTCTGCACCGGCTCTTGGATTATAACAAGGCAGCCATCTGATTATAATCAGGGCAATTTCTGATTGTGTGTAACCTCTGATATTAAAAGAGCGCGGAAAACTTCTGCGTATGCGCCATGGCAGAAAATACATATATTCCAAATGCATATAAGCCAATGCAAAAATATACAAGACGAATAGACGACACAATTATTAACAGCGTACTACCATTTATCCTAATGAGCCATTTATCCTATTTATCGTGTGAATTTTTTCGTTTTTGACGGGGTACATGGCTTGAGAATATTTTTTTGAAAACAAAAGTACCTAAAAGTTAAGAGTAAAGAGAACCGAGGTTGAACCTCTGTCGAAATTCGGTCTCACAGACTCTGACAGACATTTCTTAAGATTTTTTCGATTTTATTACTGTGTTATCCTTCTCAGCTGTTCATAACATTCGGAAGCGAACGGCAACGGCGATCGTATTTTTTTCCTTGCGGTCGTCTGCGGTTTCTATCGGTAAACCGCAACCGAACCGCAACCGCAGTGTTAGGTTATTTCTGGGAAAATGTAAAAATGTAAATTAACCTAAATTTTCATTATCGAGGAAACCAAAACTTACCGTATCCATGCAGCGACATAAAAAGTGTCTTAAATAAAAGTTTAAGAACTTCCATTGCTTATTTGATAAACAAAATGTTTTAGACGATTGATTTGTGAAAAAATCACCTTTAGCTCAAGTTCTTATGGGGTGCAACTACTTCAACGTTCTGGTCGTTTTTATTTTTGGTTTCTAGAATGGGATGTTTATTTTTGCGCTCGAATTTTTATGGCTTGTAAAACACAGAATCTTTCACTCTTTTTACCGCCCTTTTACCGCTTTGGCTCAGTGAATATATATAGGCTGGTATAATCACCTCGCCTTCGGCGACTAAATTGTTAGTAGACAAAAATATATAGAAAAGAAATAGTATTAAGGTAGTTACGTATCTGATTCCCACCCTAACTAGCCTGCCTTTAAAAACGTTTTTAGCGCGTATTTCAACACTGACTTGGAGTTGAGTCCAGCGGTTGCTGTGAAATACGCTAGACGCTAATATGATTTTTGATATACTTTTATTTTACAAGGAAATACGTCCATACCGTTTTGAGATATGTTCTCTTGACAGTGCTCAGTGAGGCTCTTTTTAGTCATTTTTTCCCTAGCTAGCAAATTAAGGCGAGGGGGAAAAACAATTAAGGAGCGTAAAAATTATTTAAGGCGTGCTATGATTGAACTACGCGAGTCTATTTCCTAACAGAATTATAAGCGATAATCTAGGCGAGGCTTTTCCCTAACAGTATATATAAATATATATCGATTTTGATTTTTGGCACTTGACTCGATGTAGGTAAATTCTAAAGGTTTTTTAAAGGGTCTTAATTTCGAGTGGAATTACACACTTCAAATTCGAGCCAGCTAGGAATACAAGTTGATGGAAAAATGAGTCAACTATAGGTCCTCCGGCAGGAATCAAACCTACGCTTTTGCGATGCCGGTGCAATGCTGTTGCCACTGAGCTACAGAGGTAGCTGACAAGAGCAAGCGTGGTAAATGTGTATAGGATGGTAATGCCGGGAATAGGTGAGGGTAAATCGATGAACCACTCGAAGTTAAGACCCTTTATAAAACCTCTAGAATTTACCTATACATCGAGTGAAGTGTCAAAAAGCAAAATCGATTTACCCTCTCCTATTTCCAGCATTACCATCCTATACACATTAACACGCTTGCTCTTGTCAGCTACCACTGTAGCTCAGTGGCAAGATCGATAGCATTGCACCGGATGTAAAAGACGATTTAAAATACAATAAACTTGGTTTACTTCATATGATTTTATTCACTACTAATTTGTTTCGTATAACAAGCAGCGCTTGCCACACTCATCAGGTGAATCTAAATGTCGCGCTATCATAGCGACATAATCGACAAGTATTTTGAATAGTTTATTTGAGTTTATATTAAATTTTACTGGACATTATGTCGCAAGATTTTCTGGAGAAGATTGCAGAGATCGTTTTAAATGTGGCTGGGAATCTCAGTCTTCTAAGAGGTAAGGATTTAAAATTATACGAGCAAACAGACGAAAGCTATATTTGAATTTGCCGCGTAAACTGTGAACACATTAAACAATAAAAAAATATATTCACAGTTTTAATACTCATCATTCCCATGTTTATATAAATATATTATACCGTGGTTATACTACAGGCACTATGCCATATAAAGTGTGATATTGATGTTGGCTAAACCATGGTCAAATTTTAGCATGGATTCAAGTTAATATATAAATATCAACATGAAACATCTGTACTCAATCTTAGATATACTGAATCTTGGATATACATAAGTTTTGATTAAGAATTAGGATGGAATAACAATTATATTGCCTTTTAAAAATTTTTTATATGGATCCTTAGATGGTGGTTTAAAAAGTGGTGATGTTTAAGTCTATAAACCTGTAATGAAAGAGGTCTCATTGGAAAGTAATATCTGTGGTAAGTAATGCATTATAAGCAATTGTCCAATGCTGTTAGATTATTCACGAAAGCATATGGCTTAGTTTTTAATGTATAATATAATATACCGGTACTCAAGTATCTTAAAACCTGCATGTGCATGGTCTACGTACATGTTTCCATTTAACTGTTAAATTCTAAATAGATTATAATTTGTATTTTTAATTTTTAAGGTGATTTGATATGAAAAACATCCACTTAATATTCAGTGAATCTACTGGTTAACCTTCACAACAAGAAAAGAATGCATTTGACTTGGTTTCCAGCAGTAAGGTAAGGAAATTATCAGCTCAGTATTCACATGTCACTCAAATTACAAATTCATTCTGTATTTCAACTCCATTATTTACTTATTATTTACAGACAATTGATTATATAGATATTTATCATCTAATAGATAAAGGGAAAAATCATTAATTGACAGCTTACCAGATGACTATACCCCTTATGCCTAATTTTATATCTGTCAGAGCATGCAAAACTGTGCATAGCATTGCCAATCATATAATTTCACACATATTATGCACTTCTTAGTTTCTTTTAACTTTTAATTTGTTATCTTAATTCTGATTTCTCAAATATGCTTGCTTTTTGTTTTATTAGGAACATGGATTGAGGTAGTACGTGAGCAAGAAACTCAGTGGAAAATTTCCTATGCCAATGATTAATTGGACCCACAGTGTTGCAGCACTTAATATTCTAGGACAAAAATACTTCAGGTGATCTTATAAATATTTTCATGTTTGGGATCATATACAAAATTTAAGAAGCTGGTCAATAATCAAAGGGGAACATTGCTCAGGAATGAATCAGTTTAGCTTATGTGTAATAATTGCATTAATTACATAGATGTGCTTTTCTTCTCTCATGAATATTATTATTCAACTTTAATTTATGTTCAAATCATGAGCCCCATAATCCACCCCCACCCCCCCCCCCTTTTAAATATAGCCCCCTATGGTATTGAGTGTAGGATAAACAAGGCTTATATTGTTGATCCAGTACTCAGCTTGATATATTGCCAGTTTTGACTTACTTTATCAAACATTGGTCTCAAAACATCTTATTACAGTTGCTGTTTGTCTTACGCGATGCCTAACTGCATAGGAAATAAAGAAATTTAAAGAGTAGAATTTTGACTTTCAACAGCCTTTAACTTCCTGTTTAAGAATATACACAACAATACACGTGTGTCTGGCAGGCATCAAGTGAGAAACTTTTGACGGAACAAATTAGAAATAAAATAAGAAAATTTGGACAAATAAATTTTGTTAAAAAATGCTAAAATATCACATATTTTGAATAATGAACAACTCAATGTAACGCTAATAATATGCATGATGTCCACGAGTAACTATAAACAATCGGCAGAATATATTGAATGTAATTCTAAGCAATATTGCACGGCAAATTACTACTGCATTTTCTCCCTGGAAATTAAAACTAACAGATAATGGTCTACTGTGGCAATCAAACCTGTGTGGAAACCAATCATACGCGGGATTGATTTGTGCTACGGCCAAACACAATTAATGCTTCGCAATAAATATGCTGCTCGATGAAACATATCATTTATAGTCGCATAAGAGTTCTCTCGCGCTGCAGCAAATTATTGTGATTAATTGGGGATATTTATTAGCTTCATACCTTCAACTCTTCATGCCATATATCATCGTAACGAGCCACGATACAGCGTAGCACATAAACAAATAAGTTTATCAAAGATAAATTTGAGTAATCTTCTACAAACCTAATCACGAGACTGGAAACGGGAATTCCCCCCGTCGTCGTTGGAATTCCCCTCAATCCCCCTGAGCCCGCGCGTCAAACATGTATGATGGTCAAACATCGTGAGAATGCGGAATTTCTGGCAACGGCTTTGAAGGGAAGTGCCTTACTAGTGTTGGCAAATTTGTCTCACGACCGTGGACAACGTTTTGGAGCCCTTTTTACAGCCTTAGCTAGTCACTTTGGTACGTCACATCGCACGGAGATATCTAAAGTGAAGTTTAAGAATCGGTTCAGGCATGAGCGCTATCAAGAACTACCCGTTTTGGTTGAAGATATCGAGAGGCTTGCTCGGTTGGCTTATCCTGACGCACCTCCAACACTTTTCGACACTAGCTCGTAATCAATTTGTCGACTTTTTACCGGATGATGACATGCGTCTACGTATGCTTCTCCGTTAAGAACGTCCACCTGTTTGTACAGCTCATTTTGAGCGATGTGTTTTTACACAAAAACTATCACGTGACAATAAGCACGTTGATCCACTGCGTTGAACTTAGGAAAAATTCCACTAAGCTTTATTAAAATTCCTGGAGGACTGGCTCGTCATTGTTTTGAAGCCACCTCACAAGGTGCAAGAAGCTAAAAAATCAATTATAAGCCATGATAATTGATAAATTGTTTTTGGATTTGACAAGGCAAACAAGATAATATATTAACTAGGCTTTGACAGCCACCTCCAGAGGTTGAAATTTTACACTCTTTACAGCAAAAATCTTATTACTTTGTATCAACACCCAATCTACACTTTGTAACGATATATGACGTCAGTATAGACGTCATGTGACTTGGACGAGGGGGTGTGCTCGCTATATTTTATTTTATCAACAGTTTTGTAAATACATGAAAAATATACGTGGAGTTTTTCTGAGTATATTTGAGTCTACTTGTCGGTATCGTTTCATGGTGTCAGGTGTGGGATATCCTACACCAACGAGGCGTTTCACAAAACAACAAAAATCACTATAAAACAAGGAAAAGGACGTACAAGTGATTGTGCAATGTCAGACGGGGAAGCATCCGCCGCCATTTATGTTCCGCCTTCAAATATACCTCCACCAAAACCGCTTGTATTTGATGACAACATTGCAATCAGTTGGAAGACTTGGAAAAAGGCTTGGAAGCGTTTTGAGATCGCCACGGGAGTTTATAAGCAAGATGATGTAGTTCGCGTGTCAACTTTGTTAAGTATAATAGGCGAAGATGGCGCCAAAACATTCGACACATTTACGTGGGGAGAAGACGAAAGCGAAGACAATATAGCCCATGTTTTGAAGAAATTTGATGAGCATTGCGAGCCCAGAATTCAAGTTATTTACGAACGATATCGTTTCAATAATAGAAGGCAAGAACAAGGTGAAAATATATCCACCTATTTGACAGAGTTACGAACAATAGCACGAAATTGTGATCACGAGTCAATTACACCCGATGAGATATTACGAGACAGATTAGTTTTGGGTATCAGAGATGACAAAGTCCGCGAACGATTATTACGCACAGACGGGTTGACACTAAAGAAAGCTGTCGAAATAATCAAAGCGGCAGAACAAACACAGCAACAAGTTAAACAAATAACCGGCGAGTTATTAGTAAACACAATTAATAGTCAAGGAAATAGTCATAATACAAAATCACCAATGCAAAATACTCATGATGGGCGGGGCAGAGGCAAAATCAGAGGCGGCACCTATCAACAGAATAGCTGTGGCAACTGTGGAAGATATCACGGGAGACGAGCTTGCCCTGCATTTGGAAAAAAATGCCATAATTGTGACAAGCTTAACCATTTTAAAAAAGTGTGTCGCGGGAAAACTGCGTTTTTTCTCCAAGAGGATTCTGATTCCGGCTCAGAGGATCCATACATTATTAGCTCAGTTTCAAAGAATCCAAAGAAGAAGGCAAAAGTAGCAGTGACCAAACTATTCATTAACAAACAAAGGAAAGAGAATATAGTAAAGATACAGATAGACACAGGAGCCCAGTGTAACATTCTTCCGGTTGAGACTTATGTGAAGGTTACAGGGGACACTGAGTTAAAGTTACTAAAACCGTGCCAGAAGGAAATAGTGTCATACACTGGAGAGCGGTGCAACATAACGGGAAAAATCACCCTTCCGGTATGGCGCGCAAGTCATAAACAACATATTAAGTTTAACATCATTGATGGCGATTACCGACCAATTTTGTCCCTTGACACTAGCATAGCTCTTGGGATTGTGAACCTTCGACATTGTGACATTCTTTCTCTGGGTATTCAAACCCCAAAAGACCCTTGCAATGAATACGAGGATTTGTTTGATGGCTCATTGGGGAAAATACCAGATACACACAAGATTGTAACGGATAGCACCGTAGAGCCCGTAGTTCATGCCCCTCGAAGAGTACCCGTAGCTTTACGTCCACGAATAAAATCAGAATTGGATAAGCTGGTTGAGCGTGAGGTGATCGTTCCAGTGTCTAAACCAACACAATGGGTATCAAGTATGTTGGCTGTCGTGAAACCAAATAAAATCCGGATCTGCATCGATCCACGTGATCTCAATCGCGCAATATGCCGTGAGCATTATCAGCTGCCCACCGTTGAGGAGGTGACTACCCGCCTAACAGGAGCCAAGAAATTCACAGTGTGTGATGCAAAAGATGGATTTCATCAAATAGAACTCGATGAAAATTCGAGTCTCCTGACCACGTTCAACACCCCATTTGGAAGGTATCGGTGGACTCGACTACCATTTGGCATTTCAAGCGCTCCTGAGGTTTGGCAGCGTCGAATGCATGAGTTCGTAGAAGGGATTAGAAGGGGTTGAAGTGATTGCAGATGACTTTCTCATTGCTGGTTTCGGAAACACAGACGAAGAAGTTAACGCGAGCCTACAAAAGAACGAGCGGGCATTTTTCGAAAAGTGTCGTAAATGGAATTTGAAGTTGAATAAGAGCAAGCTAAAACGAGGACAATCGTCAGTAGCATTTATGGGTCATCTACTCACCCCCGAAGGGTTAAAGCCAGATCCTGCCAAAGTTGAAGCCATTCTTGAAATGCCCTCTCCAACCGATGTCAAGGCAGTAAAGAGATTTTTGGGGATGGTCAACTATCTCGCCAAATTCTTACCACTACTATCGGACATGACTCAACCACTCCATAAGCTCGAGGACAAGGATGTTGAATGGTGTTGGCTAGAACAACACGAACAAGCATTCAAAACAGTTAAGGACTTCCTCGCAAAGGCCCCTGTACTAGCTTACTACGACATCAATAAAGAAGTTACAATACAATGCGATGCAAGTGAGACCGGACTTGGTGCCGTGCTGTTGCAAGAAGATCAGCCAATCGCATATGCTTCAAGGGCTCTCACTGACACGGAAACTAGGTATGCCCAAATTGAAAAGGAACTACTCGCGATTGTTTGGGCCACTAATAAGTTTGATCAATATATCCTAGGCCGCGAGGTTGTTCATATAGAATCTGACCATCAACCATTGAAAGCAGTTTTCGCCAAACCCATCCACAAATCACCCAAGAGACTACAAAGAATGCTTATGGCTTTACAGAATTATACACTAGATATACGTTACAAGAAAGGAGCACTAATGTGGATCTCAGACACCTTAAGCCGAGCATATCGATGTACGACCGAATCGGCCCAACATGATATAAGCGAAGTGCGTGCTCTAGAAGAAGTTGATCACAGCGAAGGGGTGTCTATAGCCCCGAATCGGTTAAAACAGTTTGAAAAATGTACAGCAGCAGATCCAACAATGCAACAACTGATTACCGTCATCAACAGAGGATGGCCACTAAACAGAAAACAATGCCCACAAGTAATAACACCATTCTACAACAATCGTGGCGAACTCATTGAAGATAAGGGACTGGTTTTTCTTGGGGAAAGACTTGTCGTACCGGCATCTCTAAGAAAAGAAATGCTTCAACAGATTCATAAATCTCATATCGGGATTGAGGGTTGTCTTCGACGAGCTAGGGAAGTATTATACTGGCCAAGGATGAATGCGGAGGTAAAGGATTATGTCTCAAAATGCTCAATATGCCAAGCAAATCAGCCGGAACAGTGCCGCGAACCACTCCAGTCCTACGAAGTACCTCGCCGGCCATGGTCAATGGTCGCAGAAGATCTATTTCAATTGGGACAGCAGAATTTCCTCATCATCGTTGATTACTGGAGTGGATTCTTTGAAGTTCAAGAGTTGACAAGGATGACATCGAAAGCCGTCGTTACAGCATCAAAAGTCCAATTCGCTAGACACGGAATCCCGGATACATTAATCTCCGACAATGGCCCACAATTTGCGTCAACAGAATTTGCCCAGTTTACAGCAGAATGGCAAATTGAGCATAGAACATCGAGCCCACATTATCCTCAATCTAATGGGCGCGCTGAAAACGCTGTTAAAACCTGTAAATCCCTACTAAAGAAGGCGAAAGCCAGCGGGGAAGACCCTCTATTAGCACTGTTGGACTGGAGGAATACCCCAACTGAGAATGTAGGAACCTCACCAGCGCAAAGACTAATGGGTAGACGAACTCGTACGTTGCTTCCAACACGTCAGAGCCTTCTCAGACCATACGAGCAAGATAGGGTAAAGAAGAAAATAGAGAGCTCCAAAGCAAAACAAGCAAGCTTCTATAACCAGAGGTGTCAACCCCTACAACCTTTACAAAGTGGCGACGCCGTAAGGATGAAACTCCCGGGAGATGATCATTGGTCGCTTGGTACCTGCATACGTTCGCTCGGGAATCGATCGTTCGAAGTCGAGATTTGTGGAAGACGCTATCGCCGCAATCGTCGTCACTTACGTGTAACTAAAGAGATCGCGCCGGTTATCAGAACGGATGATTTGCAAAACGAACCGACTGATCATTTTACCGATACGGAATCTGTCCTCAGTACGCCCTCTGTGGAACAAGATACCCAAGTTACTCCCATA